TTTTTTTTTTTTTTTTTTTTTTTTTTTTTTTTTTTTTTTTTTTTGAGTTAAACTTGCTTTTTTTTTGGCTGGTGTTTCCCATATTGCAATTTACTGCACGGCCCAGAGCATCTGCTGTTGCTCTGTGTCTCTGACACACCAAACTGCCCGTTTTCTGGCAAATGTGGAAGGTCCTGGATGCCACTGCCAGGGCGAGGCCCAGGATAGGGCCCAAATGCAGGGGCACGAGGGCATCGACAGGATTTGTTTAAATTAAACTTGAAGCCGCACCCCTCGGAAGCAGAGACAGCCCGTTTACTAACCTCGTGCCTCTCCTGGAACTCTGACATGTCCAGTCTGATGAAACCCTGCAAGAGAAAGAAATATTTAACAGGATTTTTTGATGAATGTGCTCCAAGTTTCATTACAGCTCCTCCAGAACCAGGTGGGTGGCTGCATGTGGCTTTTGTGGTTCCCGAGTGGCCAGATCCACCGTGAAATGCTGAGGGTTATTCTGAGGAAGATGATGGCAGTTTCCCAAAGAGAGCCAGGAACTGTTTCCACCGCCAGCTCACAGCCCCTGGCTGCCCAGCTCCTCGCTAGAGCCGGAGCCATACAGATGGGACTGAAACAGCAACTTGCAATTTGCTAAATAAAACGGTTATTCTTGCGGTTGGGCTTTTTAGAAATAAATCACAAGAAGAACGCAACGCCTCTCTGCAAACATAAAAAAATCAAAATCATAAAGCCGAGGTAAAACCAGGTTTGTGGGCGATCACCTTCAATTGGTAATATTGTTAGAGAATTTACAGCTACTACCCAAGCTTCCTTTTTGCATTTGAGGAGCTGATGATTCACTGCAGGCACTGAATTTCCTGGGCTTGCAGCTGTAACCTAGCTCCTAGAGGCGTGAGACTAAACTAGACTAGACTAGACTAGACGGATTTCAGTTGGAAAGGATCTGCAGTGCCTAAGAAGACAAGCTTGACCTTTCCCAGCGTCAGTGCAGGCACTTCCAGCCGGACACGGCAGCTCCCTACTCATCAGAGCCGGCACCTCCCGCTCCGCTAAGCCCAGCTCTTCCCAGGCGGGATCAGGCAGCAACCCCACGCTGCTACAGACCCTCAGAGCCTGATTCTAAATGTGCCAACGCAAATATCCTCCTCCAACAGCAGCCAGAGACCCAGGCAAAATAATTAGTTGCTGGGAAGAGCAAAGGGAGGCGTATGGCATGAGGGACCACAGAGCGACAGGAGGGTCGGGGGCCAAGGGTCATCTAATCCAACCCCCCCAAACCCCATCAGGGTGCTCAGAGCCCCATCCAGCCTGGGCTTAAATACTCAGCTTCAGAGTTAACAGCCGGGACGTTCGGCAGCGCACAGGGAGCCCAGAACTTTCTCTGCACCAAACTAAGATGGTGCTGCCATGATCTCCCAGGGGAGGGAGGGGAGCAGGAGGGGCTGCCCTGTGTGCCGCTCTCTGCCAAACGCCGGGAGCTGGGTGGTAAGAGGTCAGGCTACTTTGGGCCAGATTTCAATTCAAAACAGCTGCTTTTCCCTGCAAAATATCAGGGCAGAGAGAGGCGTAGAAAGCTGGGGCCTGATCCTGGCACGCTGAGGAGCGTCCCTGGCACACGCTTTGTGCAGCGGCAGCATCGCAGCCAATGAGGTTAATCCGAGGTGTGATTATTGCTAAAAATATTGGTCAGTGTGAGGTTCGTGGTTGGACTGGATGATCTTCAAGGCCTTTTCAACCCAGATGATTCTGGGATTCTGTGAAAGCTTGCACCTAAGCCGGGCTCTGCGGGATCTGCTCTGCTTTGGTCTGATCCTGCTCCCAGCCCTCCCGTCTCCGCTCACTCCCCGCAGGCTGGGTAAAGGGGTCAGCAGCTGTCACGACCTTGCAGCTTCTCTCTAGCAGTAGGAAAACGGGACAGTTAGAGGTTTTCCTTCCTTAATCCATCAGTTCCTGCGAGCCGCTGCCCCCCCAAAACCGCCGGTGGGGTGTGTGACCCCCCCGCCGCGCACTGCTCGTTACAGCGCCGATGGCCGAGCTGATTCATTGCCAATAAAACTCCGATTTGTGCACGCTATTGAATTAACACAACATCCAGTGCTTAACTGGTCTCTCCATTTGATGTCTGGCCGGGCACTGACCAGTTCCAGGTGCCTGGGTGGGGATGAAGGTGCTCGAGAGGCAGGAGCCAGGATTTATTGCTTCTGGAAGGCAATTACAGAAGGACGAGGAAAAGAAACCAGAACTGCCATTTTCAGAGTGTTGTTTTACTTTTGATCTTCTTTCTACACGTGGTGTTTTATCTCGTGGCCGTTTTCGGCTGGAGGATGTGGCGGGGGGGAGGAATTAATCTGGCGTCGGAGCAGGGGGCAGCTCTGTTGGTGTTTCTTCCTCATTCCTGGCTCCAACCTCTGCACCTTCCCCAGTCCTCCGTACGAGAGAGCTAGGCTCGTCCTAAAGGCAGGCAGAGGCTTAATTGTGAATCGGGGAGCCCAGCTTTAAATGTGTGGTGCTTCTAGTAAAATCTCAGATGTCCCTGAGCTACTCCCCTACTAAGCCACTACCAGTTAGACAGGATTCTAACCCGTCTTTACTAAAAACTGCCAAATGGAAACTAAACTAAACCACACCAACAGCTTCTGCTGTTTGGATCCCAAACGTTTCAGCACTAAGAACCCGGCATGAATGCGGTGCCACTGCCTCTGTTCTCTGTACGGGTACAGAAAACAGATTTTCAGTGTTTAATCCCTCTAACAATTTACAGGGTTATTAGTGACAAAGGCTACACAATATGTTCCCAACACAGGATGTCAAAAAGCCGGCACCCTCCAACGGGGAGCACAAGCTATTGTTAAATCCAAGTAGATTTTTACAAGTCAAATATTGGGACAGGGACTTTCACAGGTTCATTTTAAGGCGGCAGAAACCCTTTCCCAGCACACACAGCCCTCACATTTCTGTTCTATGGATGAATTCAGTGAGCTGCCAGGCAGCTGGGCTGACCAGTAAGCTGGACTTCCAGCCTAGAAAAGACAGAAACCAACCCCACCCTGTTATTAAAAGCACCCGGACAGCAAAAAGTGAAAGGAAGGGGCGTCGTTACCTTTTTGACATCCTTATGGATGTACTTGGCTGTCTGCTTGGCCAGCTCGGTTTTACCTGTTCCAAAGAGAAGGAAGAAAAGACTCGTGTTAAACCAGGCTTTGTCCACCGTCTGTCTGCCCATCAGCGGTTCTAAAGCAGGGGCTCACACCCCCTGTAACCAAAACACGTGGCTTTTTCTTGCAAATGCACTCGTGGCGGCACTGTCAGAGCCCCGGGGTAAGACCCTGCCCAGGGTTCGTTAGCGGGTTGAGGGGAGAGTGGCATCACCACGCCGGCTGCTGCATTTTTCATAGTTGATTTTTACACAGTGGGTAGACAGATCTTTTCTTTTTTTGCCACAAAAAGGTGTGGTTAGATCCGGTTTTTGCTACATTTACTCTCAATACCCTCAGTGTCTTTTATTCTCTACAGAATTTCAGGGAAATGGGATAATCTTGCTTTCTTTAATTTATATAAGGCAGCTGCCATAAAATTGCAGGATTAGGAACGAACAACAATAGAGTGAATCCACACTGACGTGGACAAACACACTCACCAGCTCACGAAAAGCCAGATCCTGTCCTCCCAACCTGTCCGTTCAGGGAAAATCTTCATTAAATAGGCAGGTTTTGCCCTGGGGAGGGGGGAAATGTCCCTGGCTCAGCCAGCAAACCCCTCTGCCCTGCTGCCACCCACTGGCACCCAAGTGCTGGGTTTATTGGGTGGAGAATTTGGCTGATTTTGGTTCCTGGGATGGTTGATGAGGGTGAGGTGCAGGCAGGGAGGATGCTCAGGGGGTTAACACCAGCACCTCACACACTGAAGCCCGCATACTCACCACAGATATCCATTTTAGATTTAACTGCGCACCAAAAAATAAACACTCTGACGTGTGTCAGGGCAGAGAGCAGGCACCTAAACTGTTCTAAATAAAAAAAAAATGCATCTTGAAAAGCAAACTAGCTAAAAAAAAATGCAGTCAGCCCGGAGAATGACACATCCCCATTCCAGCACAGCTGTTATTTTGGTGATTTTTGGTAAATTGGGTGGCTCAGATCTGCAGGATCACTTCATTAGGTCACCCCAAAAAGGGCTGTAAAACTGGGGATTCATGGCTGTGCTGGGAAGGCTGCTCGGGCAGGTGAAATCTCTGTCAAAATCTAGCATCTTATTTCAGTTCAAGCCTCACTGACTTTGTATGGTGCCCTGAGCACCCAGGTACCTACGTGTCCTCACACCCTCCGTACCCAGACCCGCGCGTGTGAGCCGATCTTTCACTCTGGGGGCCTACTGAAATGTGAAGGCACATCAGATAGCTTACACGTATCTGAGCTTTCAGACTACTGTTACATCAAGACCTGCATAAAATATCCATTTGAGACAACAAAGTTCTCAGCTGCTTTGTTTTTGGATTTCAATATTCCTTTTTATGGCAGTAAGAGAAGGAAAAAAACCCAACAAAACAACCCAGAGAAATACATGATCTGACAATTTACACTGCTGAGCCCTCAGACCTGCAATGAAGTCTCAAAAACTGGTTTTATACAGCTTTCCAGCAACTCATTTTAAGTTAATACTGGGCCTGACACTGCTCTGAGGCAGGAGCTTGGGCCGGCAGCAACCATGTGTGTGTCCCGTTGCCGTAACCCCCCAGCACCGGCACCTTCCCAAGGACTAGGGGGGGCAGTGGATGCAGGAAAAGCACTGAGGGTGTTTCAAATGTCACCATTCGGTTACTTTAAAGCTGTTTGGGTTTTTTTTTTTTTCCCCCTGACTAGAAGTCATTTTGTCCATTTTGTGAACTGATCAGCTGTCGTGTTGCATTTTATTGTGCTCGGGGACAAATATTATCGGTGTCAATACAATCCCGTCATTACAAAGCAATCCTTGCCCACAGGAGCAGGGTGAGCAGAGATTTGGTTTGCAAGCAGCAAATTTCTCCTATCACCCCACCCACGGAGGCACTCCTACAGCGGGCTGTGAAAATAACACTTTTTCTGGGGGAAAACTGCCCCTTCTTGAGTCTCGGAGGGCCCCTGGGGATAATTCTGTGTGAGGCTGCGGGTGCCCCAGCACGGGCCCCGCGGGATGAGGGACTGGGTGAGAGGGTGGAAGGATGACAGCGCCTTTAACTGGGATTTTCTGCAGAACCTGTGAAAAATGAGCCCCGGGAGCGGCCCTGCCACGGCCCCCTCACCCAGCCCAGCCTCTCCACGGGGCTCTTGGTCCCGCTCTCCACAACCCAGGCGTTACCTATTCCAGATGATCCCAAGAAAAGAAAGACCAGCGGGTGCTCCTCATCATACCAGCCATTTTCCTTCCTCCGAATAGCTGCATTTAAAGACAATGAAAACAAAAAGGGGGCAGGGGGTGGGGGGGGAGGCATATAAATCAATGACACAAAAGCAAGTATAATTATCACTAAGTATACACTGTGTTTTACTGCTCTCTACCCACTCAAAGTCCTCACTACCATTAGTGCTATCTAATTTGATTAGCCAGCCAAGGCCCCAGAGACACCTAATCAGGTTAGCATGGATTTGGAAAGCTGCCCAGAGCAGATTTCGGATAAAGTTTTCCAGGATGTGCACTCAGCGTTGCCAAGGAGACGGCGGAGGCGGGGGGGGACAGGGATGGATGGATGGACGGACGGATGGACGGGGCTGGCGAGGGGAGGATGCGAGAGGCACGCCGCGTCGCCAGCTCCCAGTGTAACCTTTCTGCCCAAAAAAAGCGGGTTTGAAGGGGTTGATGTGCTATTTCTTGCACGCGGATGGGAAGAGGGAGGTGGCTGAAGGTCACACTGGCTTGGAACTGGGGCAAGTCCAGAAGGACTGGAGAAGGAGAGTCGGCTGTCTCCGTGCCTCTCTGGACAGCAGCATTCAAGGGCATCCTGGTTAAGATACAGTGGAAATTTTTACAAAAGGCGAGGAGGGTTTGGAAACCACAACACCCCATCACCTCCTCATCTGGACAGCACACCCCTCCCTCGGGACAGGCACCGACCTGGTGATGCCTCCTACCCGCCACAGGTGTCCATGGCCACCCAAGGTGCGACCCAGCCCCATGGAACAGCCTCAGGCACTGTGAGCACCTTCACCAAACCAGTACAAACCAGTAGCATCATTGCACTAGGCTTATCTGGAAGATAAGGAATGGCTTTTGAGGCTGAGAGGATCAAAGTCACCTGCAGGCAGGATCTGGCTGGCAGAGCACAGAAGTGACTGCCCTGGTTCAGACCCTTGGTCCGCTGCTGCTGGGCCGTTTGGTTAAATAAATAATTCTTAACATTTTAATATTAGAGACCCCTTGATTAGATACCCCAGTCATCTTCAGCTCTGGGGACCTCCTGTGCCTGCTGTGGCGTGGATCTCACTTCCAGTCTCCCCTGGAGTCCAAGCAAGTGCCACGATGCTTGGAGCAAAGCCCTTGCTGAGCACAGCCTACAGAAAACCGGGGTATTTGCACCCTGAAACCTTTTGAAGTGACCACCAGTAAATGTGACATACTGGTGCGGGTGGGTAATCCAGTTCAGTTCAGGCAGTGGCTAAAGGGGACAGAGAGAGGAAGAGGCATTTTGTGGGCTCTG